CTCTCTTACCACTACTAGAAAATTACTGTTCTACGTCGTCAATTCTACATCGATTTTAATAAAAACGACGTAAAAATCAAACGCAGTGGTATTTACATCGGTTTTTTTGGGCCCGATGTAAATATTTAGTGTTCTACATCGGTTTTGAGTAGAACCGATGTAATATTCAAAACGTGGTGGTATTTTAGTAAATACCTCTAAAATGTAAAGAGATCTACATCGGTTCATTTAGGGACCGATGTGATATTTGAAGCTTTTCTATGCCAGTCCTTTCCCCTGATGAACCCTCCACTCTCAAAGCAATCCTTTCCCCCCCTAAAGAACACTAGACTCTCGCACACACTCATGACGGCGGCGAAGTAGTCGTGTGGCTTAACGCGAGCAAGAGGCTGGCGGTGGAGGCATGGCCGTTGACAACGGCGATGGTGGGCATGGGGAGGGAGATGAGGGCGGTGACGACGGGCTTGAGGGAGGCGACCATGGACTCTAGGCAATGGAGGGCGGCGGAGGGGGAGGCCGCGAATTGGGCCCAGGCGATTTTGGCCGTTAACAACGGCGATGGTGGGCATGGGGAGGGCGATGAGGGCGTGGCGATGACGGGCTTGAGGGAGGTGACCATGGACGACTCTAGGTGATGGAGGGCGGCGGAGGGGGAGGCAGTAGATTGGGGCCAGGTGTGGTCGAGGCCGTTGGAGAAGAACTTGGAGTGGCTTGGGTGGTGAGGCGCGTTAGGGTTTTGGCCGTCGCCGACGAGGGGTTACCGGTTTTACATCAGTTATTAAACAACTGATGTAGAATGTCAGATACTTTCTACATCTCCTTAATCTACATCGGTTCCAAAATCGATGTAAAATATGTCTCTGTAGTAATGATACTAAACAAGTTGTTAGTGTGAATAGAACTAAACTTAATAGCTTAATTTCTTTAAGTTTTTGAATTTGAATTTTATAGATGAAAAAAAATGATTAAAAAAATTTCACTAAAAGTAATTATGATAAAAATTAATAACTATCAAATTTGATGCTTAGTATGCTCTAATAATATAATTATAATATATATATATTTATTTATTTATTTATGGCTGTTCATCCCACGATTTTTATCATAAGTGATGTTGGAGTTATTTCATACCAAATAGTAATGATGAAATAAAATATAAAAAAGGTAATTTATTTAAATAATTATAGTAAATGTTTTTTTTAATTAACTTAAGACAGTGAATTAATGACAAGATTGTTGTCTACGTAGAATCTGCAACGACCCACATGCTGTCTGGCAAAGAAACCAAATAGAAGTTAGCACAGAAATGGTGAAGCTGCTGGAAGATTGCTTGACATTGTGGGTTAGAGGCTAGATCTATCACATACACCATACACGTGTTTATCTAACACTTAATCTCTCTCTCTTTCTCTTTCTCAATTTCCCCGACCATTACACGCCATACGAATGAGTTAAAAATACACAAGAACAGGCATTAGTCGAAAATTTCAGTCTACCAACTCAAACCGATACATATAAAGCCTTAATGATCTTATTCTTATCTATGAACACCCACACGGTACAGGTCCTTCTCCTTCACATGCATATGCATGTTGACAACACAACGGTTGCATCTGCTCAATCTCTTCTTTGTAGGGTATAACCAACACTTACCGCGTCAGGGATACATCCAATCCAACTACACCAAAGCCAAGTCTACGTTAAATTCTATTTTGATCAATAAATTATACGACTAGCTACTCTTTTTTTATTTTTTTTATTTTTATATTTGTTATATATAAAACAAAATTAAATTAAGGGGTGGCCGGGGGCCGAGGCTCACCTGTGTCCCTTTATATAAGTCAATTTTACAGTTCATATCCATGGCCCATATCTAAACATGGCCTATTTTTTTTAATATATATATATATTTTTAAAATGTTATTGAGCCTTATAAGAAAAGCAATTCTGGTTATAGTTAGATCAGATTCTAGCTTTATGAGATACTTATTTGATTTCTAATTTTGAAAAAACTTGTAAGTTTATGGATTCCTATAAAGAAGTTGGATGAGGATCATTTAATTATTTTTAGTTAAGAGTCGACATTCGTTAATTTTAATTTATTAGAGAAAATTGACTTGTTTTACTTTCTTACTTTATTTTATTAAATTCCTTCTCTTGCAAGTAATTCTTGTTCAAATTGGCAATTTTTTTAATAAAGCTTTCAACAAGGGCAAAACAACGTACAAGTGTCTAATAACCTTGCTCGCTCAAAAATATCATCCGTTAGGATTAACCACGACAATAAAAAAATATTTTTAATAATATTTAATATTATTTTTAATGCTAATAAAAATAGTTATAAAATATTTTATTAACATTTTTACATTAGTTATTGTATATAGTGTCGATAAAATATTTATTGACAATTATTCTATTTATTAATAAAGATCTTCATAATAATTAAGAAAAATATACGAGTTCTTGTTGCATTTTTTATTGTCATTTATAATGACTATTAATATGAATTTTAAAATGTTTAACATATTTACTGATTTTTTTTATAAAGATAAGAAAGATTACAAAGATAGTCGCAATAAAGATTGAACCTAGGTCTTTATGCTTCTAATTACCCCAACTCCTCCCCACCCAACCACTAGGCTAACCTAGTGGTCACATATTTACTGATTTGCCACTATTGTTGTTAAAAGTTTAAGAAATGATTTCTAATTAACTTTCATATCCTTTATTTATATACTCTTTAATTGTCTTATTTTTAGTTGATATAAGACTTAATTTTTTTTAAATTCAGTACCTCAAATCTAGCATTATTGAGTTTGGCACGTAAATAAATGGTAAGTGACTCATTATAATGATTTATAATTGGTGGGACTTGAATTTTTTTTTTTTTTACTTTTCACGTTTAATACTATTGTACTTAGTACGTGCATTAATGATGAATGACTCTTTTTAAAGTGAATTTAGGATAACTCTAATACCATTTCAAAATAGTGAGCTATAAACCTAACTCAATCCTATAAATTAACTTGTAAGGTGGGGGTTATCCTCCACTTATATACTCTTTAATTATCTTACCTTTAATCGATGTAAAACTTAATTTTTTTTCAATAAAATGAATTAAAAATAACCCTTACTTTTTTTACAGGTCATTTTCAATAATTATTTTCATAAATATATTTTTAGTGACTATTATTAGTTACTAATACTTTTATTAGATAATAAAATAAAATAATAAATTTATTGTTATTGAATAATTATCTTTAATATTAAATTTTGTTAAGGTATTTTTTTAATAAAGTAAGATAATTGAAAACTTTTCTTTTAATTTCGATAGCATATAACATCCAGATTCAGCCATAACGTTGTGATCTTCGGTGTAATTTTAGTATGTTTGAGTAATATCTAAGAATCACTTTTATTCTCCAAAATCATCGCAATATTATGAGAAAAAAAGACTATTTATTACTTTTGTCTTGAAAAATACTACGTACGAAACGAAGTCGATTCAAACACACTGTGCAACAATTAAGTCCATATGCGATTTGCTCATTCAAACATAGATCATAGGATGCCAAGATATGTTAAAATGAAATTAATTAAGATTTTCTCTAAAAACATGATCGATAAAGCATTTAGAAATGTAGCAATACCATGGTAGACTGAAAATAAAACGAAGAACAATGATTAAAGTAAAATTGAGGCCGGCTGCCGCCAATTGGGAAAGAATTAATAGTCACGATTCACGAACAGTTCCAAGTTTACAACTTTTAGAAGAAAACAATTTGTGACAAATGGCAAATTAAAGTGAACGTAACAAAGCTAGCCTCAGAATATAGACAAAGTCTTAGGCAATTGACCAAACTTTAATATTAACCAAAAAGTCATTCAGGGTATATATGGTACGAACAGTAATATTTATCATATAGATAATATACAGTGATTGATATAAATATATTAACCGTTTCTAAAATTCTTTACTTTGTACGTACGTATTGTTTTCTCCTTCATCATGTATTTTTACGAGAATAATCCTTTCGCTATCGTCGCAGCTGTTGAGGGGCTTCTTTTGTTACACATATTTGGTTTTTAATTTGAAAAAACAAGGAGGCTATTTCCAATACAGATCCATCTAATATAATGTCTCTCGTTGGAGGAAATACAAAACTGAGGTTTGAAATCCCTTTTTCCTTTAAATGTTAATTTCGAGAAAGTCCAATTGACTCATTCATTGAGCCACTTAAGATTTGGGTTCAATTGACTCACACTGAAAATTAATAATGATAGTTTTTTGTTAATGATATTAAACTTGCTAAATAAAATAAAATTAATTGTTGAGATTAAAAAAATTGTATTCTCTGTGACTGCAAGGAATCCTGATGCATATATATTTTAGTTTTTAAAAATTAAACCTGAATGAGCAATGAATTACACAGTGGTCAGTGTTAGTTCCTAATTGAATTACTCCATAGCCATAGGGAGTGAAAGAGTGGAGTAGGTTGGTGTTGGTTAGGTATTTTTGTTAGAAAGAATCTCTCCAGGTAGAAGTAGAAGGATTGATTCATAAAAACCAAAGGCAACAATGTTTGATTTAGTAAAGTTGAAGGGCACTTGCTCTTTATCATCAGTGATTGGTCTGGCAGTTGGGCCGGATCAGCTTCTGCTTTTGTAATCTTTGTCTTTTATTTATTTTGTTCTTCAAAAGGGGTAAGCCAAGCTGGGAAGAAAGGGCCGGGGTAAGTTGGAACAGGTCACCCACAAATTGATCAACAATATTTTACTATCAAGGAGACACCCATTTCTATTTTTTAACCAAAAAATTAAATTAAAAAAAAAGCCAAATATTTGTGTGATGTGATAGATAAGATAAACACATAAAAATATCTTAAAATCTTATTAGATAAATAACATAAATAGTTTTTACTTTTAAATTTTAAAATGTTTATAGAAATAGAAAATAAAAAAAGAAACTTGAGTGAATTTGGCATTAATTTAGAAAATGTTGGGTCCATAAAGGCAAAGGGTTTGACGGTAGAAAGGGGAAGGCAGCGCAGGCAGATAACATAAGAAGCGCACTGGCAACAGGGGAAGCAGAGAGAGCAGTGCAGGCTCATCATTTCAAGCCCAACAAAGCACAAAAAATAAAAAGAAAAAGCGACTAAGAGAAAAAGAGAAAAAGAGAAGAACAAGGGTTTTGGCTTAGCGTTGAAGAGCAGGATGCAGAGTGAGCAACAGAACAACCAGTTGGTAGTGCAGAATTCGGGGAGCCTTAGCTTCAGCAGCCACTTGTCCAAGGAAGATGAAGAGATGTCAAGGTCTGCTCTCTCCACCTTCAAAGCCAAGGAGGAAGAGATTGAAAGGAAGAAGATGGAGGTCAGAGAAAAGGTTCAGCTTCAGTTGGGTCGCGTCGAAGAAGAAACTAAACGCCTTGCAACCATTCGTGAGGTATTCCAAATTAACTCAACCAACCTTTCTTTCTTAATAACTCATCTCAGCCCCGCTTCCTCTTTACTTTTTTTTTTTTTTTTTAAGGAAAATAAATTGACCAAACCCAAGTACCAAAAATTAATTAAGGGCTTACAACAACAGCAACAAAAAGTATTCGTGGTCTTTTAGTCGGCTGAACATGAATTTGTTACAGACTTGCATGAAAAAAAACATTTTTTTTTGTTTAAGAAAGTTTAAGATGCAAATTTTGGGATTTTTAACAAAGTTGTGTTGGTCTATGAAGTCAAGAAGTTCTGATGGAGCAGCTTTGGGTTTTTTCATGTAATTAAATGGGGTTATATTGTAACAAGGAGAATACCAGAGGTTTTGAGAACATCTAGAGCACTTGGGTATGCCCGATCTGTGGTTTTGTTCACGAGACGGTGAATTTTTAGCCCCAAAACGTTTCTTTTTTTATTTCCGTTGTGTTTTTCTGGGGAAAAAAATTCAAAATTTGAAATTTTTTGTTCCCATGAAATATGAATATATTCTTCTCAGAAAACATTTTCGGGCTATGCAACAATATATCAAATTTCACACGTATACGTCCCTTTGCAATTTACTAATATGTTTTTTCAAGTAAGCAACTGGCCATAAGTTAGGCTAAAAGACGTTAATATATATGTATAGCGTTTGTTATTTATACGCAATTGATATGTAATTGAATAATCCCAAACTTTGCTCTATTTGAGGAATATCAGGAACTTGAAGCCCTGGCAGATCCAATGAGGAAAGAAGTTGCACTTGTTCGAAAAAGGATCGATTCCGTAAACAAAGAATTAAAGCCACTGGGTCACACCTGCCAGAAGAAGGTGAAGTTAATTGAATTTCCCAGAAACCATTAATACTCGTTGTAAAGTGCCGTATTACACGGATCATGACATTTTATTGAGGATAACATATGATGCGTTTCAGGAGAAAGAATACAAAGACGCCCTCGAAGCTTTTAATGAAAAGAACAGGGAAAAAGTACAGCTAATCACTAAGTTAATGGAGGTTAGTCTCATGCTTGGTCATGGTTGTGACTTGTGAATGAATATAAAACTTTGGTTATTCTAATATGTGGGATATTATTAATTTGTTCAGTTGGTGAGCGAAAGTGAAAGATTGAGGATGAAGAAGCTGGAGGAGCTGAGTAAGAACATAGATTCGATGCAATGATTTAGCCAACTGCTAATGACTCTGATTAGCATTGTGTGGTATATTAAAGATGACATAGTATATTTTCATATGTATGGGTGTTTTGTGTTTGTGTAATTTTGTGGTGTTGATGTTTGTTTAACTAGCATTGCATGGGACAATCAGCTAATTTAGGAGGGATATACCCTACAAACAGGCAGGCTTGTAACTAAATACTTGCATTTTCTTGTCATTTTTTACCCTTCAATTCACTTTTCTTTGCTTTGTTCTCCATAATTTAATTTATTCATGTAATTTGAATTTTGTTGCCACGAAGGATGGTTCCAACATAGTTCTGTGTGTTTTGTTATTAGTTCAATGATTTACCTCTATAATTGAATATGATGTTATATACTTCACACAATAGATCACTTCAGTATTAGCTCCTGGAGCAATGTTCTAATGGAATTGCGACTCAATTAACCGCTTGTGATTTCTTATGGGAAACACTTGTTATCATTTATGATGCAAAGCTCTTCTCGTTAATCATTTACACTTCTAAGGATTTTCAACATCGTTTTCTGTTAAACCATGGAGTAATACGGGCTAAACCTGTTGTGATTTGCGACATCAATGCCCAATTTCCATATTAGCATCGGATCCAAACCAAGAAGTTCTTTCTTGTGATCCTAAATAGGGCTGAAGCACGGGGTGGATTGTGGATTATTTGCATACAAAAAATCAAAATTATATTTTTGTACTGTGAAATGTTATAGAAACAATTTGTTGCTAGTTTGATTATTGTCCATAATCAATTTTGTGTGGCACCTGTGATTGATTTTTGAATGGCACCTACCATTTTGAGTGACAATCGTAATCAATTTGTGGAAGATGATAGTGGATTCCGTAGTGCATATAATTGATTATATATTATATATGCACACTATAATTGACTAAAATATGTCAGTACAAGTCGTGTTAAACCCTTTGATAAAAAGAGTAAAATGATGTTTTAATTTTCCAAACTAATTTTCTTCCTTTCTATCTATCAAAACCAAATTCGACGAATAACAATCAAAATTTCATACATTTTTCGTCTACATCAGTTCACCATTCTTCTTTGTGATACCTAATTGAATGTTTGTCGTGAGAAAATAGTTACTCTTGGCCCTAATCTAAACGTCACCCAATATAAATGACTGTGTAGCGTTTATGGGAGCCTATAAATTATAGTAACTTATAATTAATATTCATGGAAGGGTACAGGTGAAACATGGGCATATTGTTGCGTTTTACCAGAAATGAAGAAGCCACGCGCTCTGACGCACTTGTCATGTACGTGGTTTCTTTTGTGCATTGTTAAAAGCATCCGAAAGGAAGACATGGTGTGTGTGTGTGTGGGTGCAAATCATCATTCTATCCTGACACTAGTATCTTCGTTATGGTAAATTGTAATTTATTATAATCAAATAATGAGACCAAAACATGAGGCAGAGGTTATAAGTAGCAACGTGACAAACCCAAGCCCTTAGCCACAAGAAGAAATTGACAAATCAAGATTCAAGAGGATACACCTCAAAAGTAACGCTCCAATCAAAAAATACTACTGTACTTGCGATTAATAAATAAATAAAAAAAAGTTACTTTATTAATGGATGCATTTCCATAACGTGGAATACATGTTGTAATTAAAATTAATCTTGACGGTTCGAATATGAAAAAGTAGGAGCCATTAAGGGCTAAGGATAAATGATTAGACATGGTATTGTATTGTATGTAATGTAATTAATGACATTATTAAATGATTGTAGAAATAGTGCGAGGTAGAAAGTTCAGCCATCCCGTTCGGCACGGTACCTGAAAACTGAATATTTCTCCACCGTTGGAAGCTGGAAGCATTAATAAGGATTGTAGGTGGGAGATAGGGATGCCAAATTTTTCTATGCATCTCAATGTCGACAAAACTTTTCCCAACTAAATACTCAATATTTTAACAAACGTCAAGAAATTATCCGTAAAAATAATTTAACTGTCTATAAACTTAATAACTAAGAATGCCTTAACTCCTTTCACCACAAAACTTCATTAACATAAGATTTTTTTTTAAAGATTATAAAGACTGAAAAATAATAATTATAAATTTGAGAGATAAAAAATAATTTCATTTTAAATTTAAGGGACTAAATATATATTTAAGTCTTTATTTTAATTCACCTTGACTCTAGAAAATACATTTAGTAATACTGATTCTTTGATATACTTTTTTGAACACATTATTTATTATTAGCTAAAATTTATTAAAATCACTTATTTTTTGAGTTTTACTTCTTACTTACTTAATGAATCCTCAATTCTTTAGTAATTTTTAAGAAATTATAATTAATAATAAAATATGTATTATGAAATGTGTTGTCCAGCAGTTTTTGAATGTTATTTCCTGTGTGTGTCAAACTAAAAAGTAAAAAGTACTAAAAAGTGGTTGAGTGAGCCAAAATGGCAGGATGTTTAAGTTTACGTGCCTTATCCCCCATTCTGCATTTTTGGGCCCATTGCATTAGGGTATGGGCTTTAGATAAGGTGTGGCATGTCGTTATAGCATGGACCTATAAATTACACTTCCATAGTTTTGAATTTTGACGCGGCATTCTTCTACCTGAATTTAGAAATTTTTTGCAGTCATTTTCTTCAAATAAAACACTCAAAATGAATACACAAAAACAATAACATCAAATTGTCCGCGAATAAAGATTTTATTATAATTAATTAGTATCTCATACTTAAAGCTATTCTTTAAAGTGCAAGTAGAATATCAACATAAAACTAAAAAAATAAGAAAGTTTAGTTAAACTAATAACATGCTATTTTATTTTAATCAGAAAAACTAGTGTTTGAAATTTTTACTTTTGAACGACCCAAAAAACTGATTATTTAAGTGGAAATCAGTAAATATTTTACTATGTCTAATATTAATTAAATAAAAATTAATCAAATATCTCTTTGGAAATAACAATTAATTAAAATATTTTAATTTAATTTAGTATGGTAGTCCAAAAACTCTCATAAAAAATACATAATTACGTAAGACTGTAAGAGAAAGAAATGTGATTAGAATCTATCCGTCAGTGTATTTGATTAAAATGTGTTCAATAGAAGGAAATTGAATCAGACTCTATCCAAACAAAAATGTATTATGTAAGAGTAAATACTGATAAATTTTGAATCACACACACACATATCACTGATAAAAAAAGAAAATTACATATCAGAATTAACATTTAATTTTTTGTTTAACACCATCAGAATTAACAATTAATTGTCATTCAATTATTGATAACGTGATAATTATATTAATTAAATACACTTATTTATGAATAATTAGTTACACTCAATTGCGTGAAAATTCATTCACCTCATTTTTAATTTTTTTATAGTAGATTCAAATAAATGATAACTTTTAAATATTTTAATAGTACATCCAAATAAATGATCTGAATTTTCTGCAGACAATCAATTAAATGAAAAATAATACTTTTATTTTTAAATTGACTATCAAGTCAGTTTTTTTTAATTCTTTTTAATCATTATTCAAAATTTTATATTTAACATTATATATATATACACATTAATTCAAATAATATTTTATATATTAATTTCTTCTACACTATCCATTAACTCAAAATTTAAAATATTATTTTTGCATTTCCCCATATTATATTTATATTTGCAAATACTTATAATTTTTTTAGTATATTTCATGCGGTATAATTTATTTATTTTAGTATGCATAATAATTAATTATTAATTACATATCATAATTACTAAATTAATAGTTAACAAATTAGAATTAATTTTATATAATTAAATTAGTTAATAAATCATATTTAAATGGTTATCTTATCACAAATCATTATATGCAATATTTTTTATTTTTAAAATACATAATTAAAATATAATTATATCACAAATCATTATATTATTTCAACAATGAAATATAATTGACAGTATTAAAAATATTTTTATTATTGGTACATGATCATTCAACTTACATTATAAAACACAATATGAAAAAAAAAATATAAAACACAATTTATTCATCGGTATCAGCATAAATAATTAGCAAATTACATATTAGAGTTAGCCATCATTAGTAATTTAATTATCGGTCGGTTATGTGATATATATATATATATATATA